TGTTTTCTATGGGGGCCGATAACAAAGGAAAACGTCCCCCGTCCTTTTATTTTTTAATAATTACCTTCGAAAAAGTCGTGCATTATATCACCGGGAAAATATTTTTTGGATCAAAATTGACTAACTCGTCGAAGGGACTTGGTCCAACTACACCAAATACTGACTTTCTACTAGGATGTTCGTTTAGTAGTTGTAAATAATATTGGTGTTTAACATTTACTCTGGGAATGATGTCAACATCAGCTAATGATACTAAACGATTTTCATATGAGATCAAACATCACCGGCAAAAATGACCCGAGCTAAATGTTTCTTGAAAACCTGCTACTTCATGCGCTGCTAAGTTGTCAGAAGCTATTGTGGTAAATGTAAAGTAAATTTGACTGTTGAAAGTATTTATCATTAACCCAGTTGACTGTAATTCATTTAAATCGTTCACAATTGGAGCACAGAATTTTTTCATCTTTTCATTATTATTTAAATACTTCGTGTAACAAATAGCTGCCAAATTTATACATTGTAATGTTGATCGAAATATATCTGGTATATCTTGCCCATGCAAAATTTGTTATTTAATTAATTCACATGTGCAGGCAATCATGAACGTAAAAACGAGAAGAGATTCTCTCGAAAATAAAGCACTTTTTTGGATTCTAAGAATTCCAAAGTTTTTAAAAAACAACTTCACATACACTAAAGAAGGTTTCTATTTTGTGTGCCGAGAAACTTCTAAACCTGCAAACGATATGAGGGGAACGCAAAAATCAAATGGAATTCATTTGGATGCTATTCAGGTTTTCTGTATAGTGAATGGGTTTCTGAGATTTTCTCTTCAGAAACTCAAAGCCCTCTAAAAATTCGGAAACCTTTTAGGGTTTCAGAGATATGTTCGAAAACCGTGCACGACTTCTAGCAAACGCTATCACCGTTTCCGTTGTTCGGAAACTCAAAAAGGTTTTCGTTGAAAAAAATCGAAAACGCAAAGGTATCCGCGGATACGCCTAAGGTTTCTGGGAAAGTTTTCAAATCAACAACGGTTTCTGAGGAAACCTTCCGGTTCTCGAAAATAGTATCAGAGTTTCTGAAAATACGGTTGAGGGTTTCCGGGTTTGATTTCTCAAATACCCAATGGTTTCCGAAGTCCCGGAAACTCAGAAGGATTCTTCAGAAACTGTACGTGGACCCGGAAACCTTTTCGGATACGTTTATAGGTTCCCGAAAGGGTTTCCGAAGCTATCTTGGTTTCTGCAAAAACCTTTTTTTTTTAGAGTGCACACCCACACCCTTCGAAGTAAAGCATTTACTGTTTTTTAATGACTTGTCAAATGATTGATGACCTTTGAATGAACTTCGAGGAGGTTTATTTATTAAACGCTTTCTCCTATTTTCTCGAAGTTTTTGCTGACGAATTTTGTTTTTGCTTCGAAATTCGGCTAAACTCTTCTCTGTTAGTTTTGTTCGCATTGAATTATTACGAGTACGAGCTTTTGCCTTCACCGCTTCGTATTTTTGTTTATCTTTTTTAATTTTCTCTCGGTCCTTTTTCATTCTTTCGGCATTAGTCATAGCCATGTCAAAATCACAATAGTAAGGACAAAAATATAGTGATCTTGATGAAATAAATATAAATGATAATTCGAAATAATAATTATATGAAAGAAAAATTTGCGGCTTTGTTGTAAAACTGTTCCTTACTGTACAGTTAGAACTGATTCTCCTTTTTTTTCCCTCGACTATTTATATAGTGTGAACTAATGAAATAAAATGAACGGCGAAAGGAAAGAAAGAAAGAAAGAAAAAAAATGGTGGATTGTTTAAACCGTATATTTATTACATTTTAAACAGCTATCGTCTGTTAAAAAAAGTTAAACAACACGTCATTCAATGCAGAATCTCATTCTGATTCCAAATATGTACGGATTCTGATTAACATCAATCATAGCCGGAAACATCGAAAAATAAATAAAATCTAGAGTTTTTAGATATATTTATTGCCAGATAAATAAATCCAATGTCAAAATCAGGTTTTAATTCTATTCAGCTGCTATTTGACGCTGGTAACAATCACATTATTACTGAACTATATAAACTAAAAATAGTAGCAAAAATCAGGTTTTCGTAACAGCATTACGTTTATCTACCTCAGGATGCAATATTTTTGTGAAAAAAAAGTAGTGAAGTAAAATTGCCATGAAAAGTTAGCAATCGTTCACTAGTTTGTTTATTGGTATGTTGTAAATGGTTCAATGAAATTTTAAAACAGGGCCTTTTTCGTAACGCTATTACAGCGATGTTGATCCAAGTATTGTTTTGAGAATATCTCAATATGGAGTAAGGGTGTGGGAGTGCATGTGGGTGTGAGTGCGGGTGTGGGTATGGGTGTGGGTGCGGGTGTGGGTGTGAGTGTGAGTGCGCGTGCGGGTGTGGGTGTGGGTGCGGGTGTTGGTGTGGGTGTGGGCAAGGGGGGAAAAGCGGTGCCTGGTGGATCCTAGGGTCCACCAGGACCCAGTAGGATCCACAGAGTCCATGAGGATCCATGAGGATCCAGTAGGATCCACAGAGTCCATGAGGATTCATCAGGATCCATCAGGATCCATCAGGATCCATCAGGATCCATCAGGATGTACGAGGTTCCATCAGGATCCACGAGGAACCATAGGATCTATTGGAATTCGGTGGAATGTATCAAAATCTATCAATATTTATGAGCATAAGTTTTATTCTAAACTATCTACACAAATGATACATATCAACTAGGTTCATATTGTTAGCATATATTTAAATCATGCACTAGAAAAATTGTATTATTCATTACGTATTACATTCATAAGTTTAATTTATGTATTTATATTTTCCTATGCCGGACTATTTAGGAAAAGTTATCAGTTTCTACTGGTATGAAAAGAACCTTCGACATATTCAGGCATGCATGCTGTTACATGATTGTCCATAAACATCAGTAATTTTGAAAAGATTCTATGAGTTCTTCGATGTATAGATGAGATTAGCAACAAAAACACTATCTTATTTTCTTTCTATAGTAATTTTTGTCTAGTTATTCATTAGTTCTTGGTGTTGAATAGAAAGTTTCGAATATTTTGCTCTGATCTATGTTCTGTAGTAAATTGCCTAAAACTATAAATTTACTATTGTTAAGTACATTTTATTCACCTATATAGATATAATTAAACAAAAAATGAAATCAAAACTAATTATTTCTGTTTATTTGTTTGTTGAACTCGTGATAATCTATCGGATGACAAATAGTTTCGATTGGTAGTCAACAGACGTACAGCTGTTTGTTTGTGTAAATATTTTGATTTATTATTAATCATAATATGAAAATAATTGTTCCATTTTGATGGATCAATTTTATCGAATATTTTCATCCCTTGGAAGGTTTCTTTTGAAACTGTAAAATGACAATCATCTAAATTATCTTCATCTGAATCGTAACCATCAACTTCAAAATTTGTTTCAGAATTTTCAATAATATTATCAGTGTCATCTGAACTATCTTGAAGTTCAGCTTCATTAAAATAACAGTAATCAACTGTCGATTTTAGATCAAGCTGTTGAAAAACAAATCAATTTAATTTTGTAATATCATTTAAATTCTTTTCTTTTAGTATTTGTAATAACTTTAAAGAATCCATGATCTTTTCTGCTCGATGGTAAGCTTTGATAATTATCTTTTCTATATCATCTGTTGTTATTGATGATGAATTAAAACTAACTGTAGATGAAGTTATTTCTTTATGTCGATTTTTATGGTGAACAGGAAATTTTAATGGATGTTCAACATTATTCGCCTCTTCTGTGGATTTTACATGATTTAATATTGAAATTTTTTCAATTTTGTTTAAAAACTGAAATACTGGAAAATTTGTGATTGACGAAAAGGTGCCAGACATAGCTCGAGCACTACGAAATGTAGTCTCACATGATTGACTACTAAATAGGTATATATTGAGAGCATAAGATGGTAAATGCCCTTGTGATACTAATATTATTAATGATGTTAAACAATGTATATTAATCTCTACTGATAACCATGCAGCTTTAGTTATGAAACAATTATCTTTTTCTTGTTGAGAATAATTCTTTTTTAGTTGAAGACTAGATCTAGAAATCAATGGTAAAAGATTATAAAACAGTAGAAATCTTTTTCTTTTACCACCACATTCGATATGAAAATGTAACAATCCAACCGTAATATAAGCGTTCAAGGATATCAGTATCCGCTTTAATATATGTAATAATAACTGATTTCAACAAGTATAAATAAATATAAGTGCCTGTAGCATTCATTTCTTTCAATAAATTCAACACGTCATCAGATGTTACTTTTAAACAAGAAGAAAAGTTTTGTCTACCACTAGGAATAACATCCGATCTGACTAAATTGTGGTCGATTTTTGAATAATTTTCAATTATATATAATAAATCATTTATGTGAATTTGATGATTATTAATAGACAATGTTGCAATAGTTGATAAAAGTCGGTTTCTGATCTTCGTAGCAAGATGAATTCCATCTTGCATGGAAAGATACATTTGCTTTGTTCTCATAAAAAAAAATGTCCATGTTGATGGAATATTAATTTGAAGTAAATTTGTATTCTCACTTAATAAATCAATGTTTGGTGTATGTGCAAAAAAGCCTAATGATATTTGCATCGCTTTAAGATAGCGTGCTTCGCAATCACTTGCAAAGCCAACAACAACAATATTTCTTTTTTAGCATTCATTATACATATATATCCATTTACGAAGAACATCTATACCCAAATGCTTATTGTTTGTTCTGTAAGCAGAAATGATATATGGTCTCGAATGTATTGAAGAAGAATTATTAGTTAATAATGGTTCAACTAAATTTGCATTTATTAATGTAGATTTGTCAAACTCTTGGAACCATTGTTGCAACTCATTATAATTATTTGTTTGAAATTGATTTAAAGTAGGTACACCATTTACTAATTGTGGTAAAAAACCAATAAATGAATTAGTTTTAGTATCATACGATATTGAACTCACAACACTCGTAGAATCTTCACACTACAAAAGGTAAACACATAATCAAATGTTACAATTAATATTTATAGAAGACATAAATTTCAATCAATTCTGATTTATTCTAGCGGATATTGATTAGTCTTGAGCTGAATGAAGCAAAATGCACCAATATTTATTCGGACTTTCAGGAGTCTAAGGAAGTCGGCTGAATTCTACTATATTTTGAAATTTAAATGATGACTAAGTTTCTTTTCTTTAATCACATTCTCGAATACTAAGAAATTCTGGTCAAATTATATCGATTTCAACAAGATAACTTAAAGCCCGTTTTTCTCTTAGATGTTATATCATCCTAAGTGCTTACCATAAATACATGATCAGAATGAATTAAATCTAAATAGTTCTTTAAAGAATCAAATCTGAATTCACCCTCATTTAAATGTAAATTAATGTTTTGAGGGGTGTGGGTGTGGGTGTGGGTGTGGGTGTGGGTGTGGGTGTGGGTG